CTCTCTCTCTCTCTCTCTCTCTCTCTCTCTCTCTCTCTCTCTCTCTCAAACACAAAAAAACGCACGGCGGCGGAGCATTAACCACCTTGTTGCAGTGCGTATAAACATACTTGGCTGGGTCGTATAATCCATGAATCATTCTCGCATAATACTGCGAGGGCTGCATCCATCTCTATCGTACAGGAGATAGTGATAAGATAGAATATTGAGCGAGCGCGCACACACAAACACACACACACAGAGAGCTGCCTCAGGTGTTATCAGTTAAATCAGCTAATTGGATCGCCCCCTTCCAGTGTCACCCCCCAATCTCTCTGGCCTTAAAAACAGCTCTTCTTCAGGGAAGCCTGCTCATTATACATCAGCCAATTAAAATGCCCCGCAGGGGGTCAGAGGTCACTGGTTAATCAATCAGACGGAGCGGCGACTGTTGTCGTTATCAGATTGCGCTATCACCCAGGAAGTGGGGATGATAAGAACATACTCGTGAGAACAGCGCAGTGGGGAGTCCGCGGCGCATCACACCGGTCAAACAAAAGTATGGAAGACGCCCGGGACAAGGCGTAGGTATGCGATGATGGCGATTTCAACGTTCATTCGTGTGATAAGATGACACACTGATGGGAATTTAAAACAAAGTTGTATCAGTTTAAAAAAAAAATCAAAGAGCAGGCAAGGACAAACAAGATGTGAGTTACGAATGGAGCCATTGACTAATACCACAGTTAACAGCAAGAAAAGGAAAAGGCAGGACTCCGCATTAGAGACACACACCGACACCGAGTCAATAGTCTCAGTTGAAAGGCCTGCTCCGCTCTGCCACGGCAAACACAGCGATAGCCTTTCTACCGCCTGAGCACTTTCAAGTTGAGGAGGAGGGAGGATGACAAAAAAAAAAAGAGCAATGAAGGACGGTCTCAGTTTTCTTTATGCACTGGGGGTAACGGGGAAAACGTTTTCTGCACTATGCATAAATAAATATGTCAATTTGTGATCGTGTCTTTTGTTGAACCAAAAGTAAAACGAGGAGTCCTGGAGACGCCTTACGCTTTTCTCGGGAAAAGAAAAGGGACTTTTAGTTGCGGAGTGAGATGAGGACACAAAGCTAGAAATGTTAAAGAGTCATCCTCTCACGCGAAATAATCCTACCGACTGGTGTTGATCCGATCTCTGCCACTTGACAAAATTATGGCAGTGTGTGTAACATTGCCCCGCCCCCCCCCACAAAACAGCAGCACTTCCCACAAGGCAGTATCAGTGAATTGTGCCTTCAAAGCACTAAAGGGAATGGTGGATGAAATAAAACTGCTGTGAAAGAGCATGACTGATGCTGTACATGACAGGCAGGTCTCAGAGACAAGCAAGTAACACCTCAAATACCCCCCCACCCCCCAAAAAAATCTCCTCCTCCTACTCCCGAGCCCTCTACACTCACACCAGCACTTCATCTTATTAGGATGGATTCCTAATCAGTAAAAACGCCTTACTGGAACTGCCTTCCTTTTTTTTGGACACACACACAAACAAAATCCTAACACTGATATCAAATGAAAAACAACCATATGCTCAATAACTGATACTACAATCTAAGAAGTTATTATGCGAGTAAGGACTTGACAGCACTGTGAGTGAGAGAGGCAAGAGACAGACAGTGCTTGTGTGTGTTTATTTGGCCAGTCACTTCATCCGATATTTGTCCAACAATCTGACTTCCTGAGGAGATATCACACTCTCTGCTGACTTTTCTCTTAATGAGACTATATTATTTATGGCATGTTGTGGTGATCCCATCGTCTCTACACGAGCGCAGGGGGGGGGGAGGTTGAGAGGGCAGCGTTGAGAGGGCAGCCGTCTTCAAAGGGTAATTAAATCACTGTGGTGTAAAGTTTAAATGCAGGTAAAGTTTAAATCACTGCTATTAGGGGAGTTTCTATAGCAGGGATAATAAGGGGGGGCTCGCAATCCAATCTGCAAACACACCCACACACACGCACGCCATTGCCTCAAGCAAAATCCACTACGAGACAGCTGATGCACAGGAGGGGGGCTGTCTGCAGCAAGTGAACAAATCCAAACGCTCCGACACATCTGTCAACTCTACAGTCGACAGAGGGGAGACGAACAGTCGGAGCAGCCGCGCCGCTCGCCTGTTCACTCGCTGCATGGTTCGGATCCAAGCTACGTCCTGAACTTCAATCGGCCAGACAGGAAGCACAAGAGACTTCCACAACGTCCAGTAGCCACTCGGGACCAAACGAGCCTGCCCTCACCTCTGACTAACACCGGCATGGCGGCTCGACTATCCCCCCATTGCCATGCGGGCGTTGGTGTGCGGGTACCAGCGAGAGTGAGAGAGATCAGAGTAATGAAGTGAGGGGCTGTGTTGTGAGTGAGCTAATCAAAGTGAACCATGCAGGGCCACCTCTCCCTGTGATCCAGACTAGATGACCCAGGGCCATAATTAGTCTGAGACTTTCATTCTGATAGCAGCAAATTAACAGACTTCATTAGGCTTTTCTCTCTCCTCTCCTCCTCTCCATTCCTCCTATATACCAAGATCCTCTCTCAATCTAACCCGCTGAGTTGCTCCTGTGCGAGCGTTCGGCAACATATACCAGTCAATTGCTCTTCACAAAGAAAACTGACGTGCCCTACAGAGAGAACATGGAAGTTCACACATTTAGAAATAAATCTCCAAATCTGGACTGAAATTATTGACGCCAAATCAAAAAGATTCATTTGGGGGCTTCTGTTAATCAG